CATATAACAATCTTGACACACCGCTCGTAACCAGGCAGCGGACTCAGTCACCACTCTAGAAGTAGCAGTGGTATGGTTGAATGCAGAGATGCGAATGAGGTTAAGCAGCATGGTCACGTAATTCAAGCCACCCTGACCCACTAGGCAAAGTGCTGCTCTGTCAACAAAGCTGATCCTTCGTACCATGCCAGGGCCTGGCAACACTGAACACAGTTCTAGCTGTGCCACAGTCTGGCACCATGGCAGAGAGATCAGTCACTTCCCTCCTCACTGTAAGACCAAACCAGATTAGATCCTCAACGGGCTCTAAATGGTTATAAATAGACCTGCATCCTGGTAGGTTTTCATACTGAAACAGCACAGTTGAGAAGATTGGGCACTGACCTGGAAGAGCCGAGTTCTGGCTTGGCCACTGACTGGCTGTAACACCATGAGCAAGTCCCTTTGTCTCTCTTGGCCTCTTTTCCCCCCACTTCCTCTGTCTGTCTTGGCACTTTAGACCATAGGAACATCCCTCACTTACGTGTATGTACAACACCTATCAAAAGGGTACCCTCATCTCAGCTGAGCGCTACTTGAATGTGGAAAACAAACTGCAAACAGGGCCTCTGGGATTTCAAATCAGGAAAATCTGGCAGACTTCTTGAGAGCTTTCAAAGCACACTCAAAAGCAAATTCAGGGTCACAAACTTATTGATGACCCCCACAAAGAAAAAGTAAAGTGGGGTAGGTGAAGGCTTGGGTTACACAAACCCCTTGCACAGCCCACCTGCCCACAGAGGCACCTCGGAGCTGTTCCTGGGGGTGTCTGGCTCAGTGTCTCCCTCCCTTACCCAGCACCTCACTGCCAGGCTGGAAACAAGCAGCATCCGTCAATGCCCTGTTGACTCACTGCCTCAGATGGACGTGCAGAAACTTCCCAAAGCGGCTCGAGTTGTCGTTGAGGATGGTTTTGGCATTCCCAAAGCTCTCCAAGATGGGCAGGACCTCACAGGGCTGGGAGGCAGGACAGGGCAGGAGACATTATATTACAAACAATAGACTCTCAGGCACAAAAGGGGCCAGAGAAACCACCTGGCCCGACTGCCTGTGTAATACAGGTACGCGCGTCCTATGGCCTGTGTGGGCTCCTGTTTGAGCTAGAGCCAGCACAAGGCTTGGCAGGTGTTTCCGATGGTTATCTACTGTCATGTTAACAGTGTGAACCTTGTGTCTGAACTAGGTCAGCCGTTGGATTTGCTTCTAGCTCTTTGGGACAGTGGCTGACTTTGGTCAATCGCTTGAGCGTTAAGGGCGATGGAATCCTTGTCCCAGACAAAGGCTAAGAGATGCTACAGTAATACAACCTGTCAGCATCCCATCACTAGCCCCTTTAGACTCCCTTTTGCTGCAGCATGAGCTCGGTTTTACCCCATATCTGACCCCCCACATACAAGTCTCCCGCTCAAGGTAAGGGGAGCTGTAAGCTTTTGCTGGGCAATGCGTTGGGGGCTGATGAGGGTTGAGGCTTGCGTGCTGCTGAAACCAGCCAGAACTTCACGTTGCAACATCTCCTGGGCGTCCAACCCAGTCACACTGCAGCTCAAGCATTGCTTTACATGGCAGTCACCCTCACACCAGCTGTAATACCTTCCAGGAAGTAACCTGAATATAATCACAGCCTTATGGAGCCATTGCAGAACTGGCTGTGGTGATTTAGCTAGGATGGGAGCACCCCCTGGTGGAAGCCCAGTGCACATTATTTTCCCAGGTGACAAAGCCACAGAGCAGCTCTCCATACAGAAGTGAGGGTCCTCAGTCATTAGTGGTTTTACTGACAGCCGTATCAGCCAGATCAGCCAGGGAGAGGTATGATCTTTTCAAACACTTAGGAAACAGAGCTATACCAGCCAAATTCTGTCCTATAGATAAAGCCTAACTCAAGAGAACTGCTGCACTGAGGACAAGTCTTTTTGTCTATTGGATCACAGTGTTCCCTGTTATCAAATTTCTGTTCCTTGTGTATTTTGTTTTTTTAATATCAGACAGGCAGTTAGTACTGCAATCAAGCTGAGAGACCAGGCCCCATAGGGCCAGGAGCTGTACAAAAAACTTAACAAAAGGTTGGTTGTTCCTCCAGAGAGCACAAAACTGCAAAAGATGAGCAGACACACCAGGCATCTACAAACTGGTCCGAGGTTCAGCTCAGGAGATGTTTGGTGTCTCTGTGTTCAACATCTCTAGCTCTTGGTTGCTAGCTGGACTCAAAGCCAGCTGGCATTGACCCTGGGAACAGTTCCCAACTCCTTGCTGCCCAGCGTGCCAAGCATGAAGGATTTTGCTGACTTCAGAAGCAGGTCCCTAGTAGCCTCACTTCATAACAACCATCCCTGTCACTGTCTGGGGCCCTTAAAGGCAGGCTCAGTAGAGAGGCTAATGACTGGAGGGGCAACTGAGTTTTCTTGTCTTCTTGCCAGGAGGCTGCACAGCTTGAGGAATCTCATGATGCTCCTACAGCTAGTATCCTGCTGTTAGTAATGGGCTCTGGTTTCTGGCACTGTGCATCAAGCATCTCAGACTCCAAGGATAAAGTTCACGAGCATCCAAGTCCCACTGTCTTTCACTGGGCCTCTGGCTCTCCTCAAACACTACACATCCCAAAGCCAGTCATGCCATCTGTGTAACAAGGATGCCATTCTCCAGCAGGCAAAGCACAACCAGAGAGGCCTCACATTGATATTGACTGGTTCAAGTTGGTCTTATAAGGCATGTGCCTGGGACAGGAGTAGCTGGACCTCAGGGGACATGAAAGAGAAGCTGAACCTGGGTACACTGGGAAAAACAGGACTAGAAGTGTTTTGTGCCATGCCCCCCAAAAAGGTGGGCAAGCAAGCTTGGGAGCAACATGTTCACCCTCTGTTTCCACAGCCCACTCATAAAGGACTTGAAGAGGGAATACTCCTGCCTCTGCTTCCATCTTCCAGGCCTGGCTAGTGGGCCATTAGCTAGCCCACAGTGACCCATCACAGCCCAAAGTAAAGTGGTTGCCTCTTACCTGCTTGAGTCTATGGCCATCTTGTCTTTGGTACATCATGGTTAGGTACTGCACGATGGCTTTGGCAGCTTCCGTTTTACCTGATCCACTGTGCCCACTGTTGGAGCAAGGGTTAGGGATCAGAGGGATGGATATAAGGATTGGGCCGGGGTGCCTATAATAACTGGGTAAGACCTTCTGCTGGCTTAAGTCAATATAGCTCTACCAAAGTCAGTGGAAAACTATGGACTCGTGACAGTCCAGGATCCACCCAACATTATTTAAAAGTCTGGAGGCAAGCTGAAAACACAGCTCCAAATGAGAACCCCACAAAGAGCCAAATGCTTTCCCCTCCCACCTCAAACCATATGTCATCCAGGGCAGGCTCATCTCTGCTGAGCAGCTACCTTCAAACTAACACAAGCAAGATGGGGAAGGGGCAGTTGATCATACTCTGAGGCATGGCACCAAGCCTGGGGCAACATTTGAAACCACCCGATTTCCCAGTCTCCTTTCTACCAATAATTATGTCATGGGCTTTTACCATGTGCCCTCTTGTCATGTCCCACTTAAATTAAACAACCCTTATCATACCCCGTGAAACCTCTCTCAGCCATGATACCATTTGCTACCCTCCTATCCTATGAAATGGCTATTACAATGGGAAAGAAACTTGGAAAGAGGAGGATTCTGAGATCTACACCATACCATAGCATGGACAGAAATGTCATCTCCTACCTGATGACGATGCACTGCTCTTTCTCTGCTGTCTGAGCCAGTGTATAAGCCATTTCTGCAATGGCAAAGATGTGCCTAGATGCACAGAAAAAAATTATAGTTTGTTACTACAGCCTTGAATGTCTGTACTGGATATGGACCTGAATCAGGCCCGGGTTTTTACTTTAAGATTCTTGGGTGAAAACCTTGTTCAAGGAAAACATGGCACAGCACACTTGAAGCAACAATATCAACAAGTGCCAGGTAAGGACCACTTTGCTTAACGTACTGTACATTTCACCCAGCTCCAGCCCAACCCTATGAGGCCAGCCAAGTGAAATGATTCTGGGAAACCATGGAGGACAAAGGCTTCTCAGGGCTAAGAAAAACTGGGTTATCTGATAGGGGGGAAAACCCACAAACATACGGAGCATTTTTGGAGAGCATCTCCTGCTGGTACTGAGCCATCACTTCTTCTGAGTAGAGATTGAGGGGTTTGAAAGGATTCACAGAGACCAAGATCTGCCCAATATAGGTCTAGGTGAGGAAACAAAGATGTGGTGGTATTAGATTTAATAGTTCATCAGAGATTTCTAAATGGCATTTGAAATGAACTAGGAATGTCTATGTTACATAATCCATACAGAGCGTTTTAATCAGCTTCACTGCAATGTTAAAGGTTTTGATTTAAATTAATTGCCAGGGGTGGGGGGTGTTCTTCACACATTTTTCCCCATGTGGAAATATAGGTTCATACTGAAACTTGGTGTGAAATCCAGAAATGAATCTTGAGACTATTTGGACAAGACAGGGACTTCCCTCCCAACTTGGCTGAGCTCAGCCTGAAACTGCAGCTAGGCACACTCAGGACATAGGGAAACCCAGGGGTTTCCAGGGTGTGTGACATGCTCTTCCACCTGCTCACAGAATGATTGTCCTCTCTTACCCTGTCTATCCTGCCTAGAGGCTCAATGGGTCTCAGAGTAGTGAATGAATGAATTCCCATTCCAAAGTACAATGCCAGAATATTTGAGGCTTAAAGAGTGGATTGCAGTTTAAAAAGTGACTCTAGGAAAAGCATCTTGTTGAATTCCACACTTGTTCTCATTGGCCTTGTTTACAAGCGAGAAGATGGTTTCTTTGACCTTGGCCTTGCAGAATCTATCTGCAGGATGGGAGGGCCCAGATGGCTTTTACCTCATTGTCATCAATAAGATTTTGATGATTGGAACTCTCCATTGTACTAAGAAAGGGCATGACAGAAAAGATGCCAGGAGCTGAACAGGCTCTGCTGGTCTATGGGAGTCAAGTCTGGTCTTTATCAGATGTGATACAAGTGAAAGATGTGCAAAGACTAGTTCTATTGTGCAAGGTGAATACATGCTAATTTTAATGTTGCTTATGCAGCCATTTCCACTCTGAATTCCCCTGCCTGGATACAAATTTACACAGTACTCCAAGACCCTATTGTTGGCTGCCTTTAGAAGAAGGATTTTCAGTGCAGGGGTTAATTACTGTGCATCTATGTGAAACTTCATACATCGGTGGTCTGTCAATTAGATGTATCCTGTGCTGAAACTCTTGCTTATGGGAACAAAAGAAAAGAGGGATGTTAGAGCATCTCTCTGTGCCCCTTATGGCTGATTTTGAGAATGGCAATAGGGGCTGGTACAACTGTTTTGGGGATTCTGGACCCCTCTAAGGAGTAAAGAACGTGATCCAGGCTGGAGTGATACAGCAGGTAAAAGGCCCACGGGTCACAATACCACTGGTGTCTATTGGGAAGAGATGTTAGGATGCCTGAGGACTGGACCCTAGCTGAGACTAGGAAAAACCCACCCTCAGAGTCCTGGTCCCAAATGAATTAGCACTAAAAAAAAGGTGTCCTCACATAGATGAAATTGCGATGGAATCTCTTCTTCAGACACAGAAGAACTGAGCTCTCACAGACATCCCTAGAAACACAGGGAAGAAAGTATCAGCCAAAAGCTTTGTGTATATAAAATAAATCTACCTACCCTCTCTTAGGGATGCACCAAGATGCTGGGTCCTGAGACCACTCCTGGATTTCACTTTCCAGGCCCAGACCTTGGCAGGATCTAAATTGTGCATGTGTATACAAGAGAAAAACACTGTGCGCAACACGGAAATAATGTTCAATCAAACATTTTAATGACTGTCATAGAGAAAAGGGAGAACAACTGTTGGCCCCTGCTACAGAGGGCAGGTCACCAAGCAACACGTTTAAACTGCAGTGAAGCTGACTGGTTGCATCTCAGAAGAAAACTTCCTAACTGTGTGAACAATAGGACAATGGAACAAGTTCCCCAGGGAAGTTGTCATGGGCAGGCAGGGTTCTTTGGGTAGATGGGATATCTTTTATTAGACCAACTAACTAGTTGGGAAAAAGCTCTTTGCAAGCTTTTGGGCACAAACGCCTTTCTTCAGGTATTGGGAGACTCTGCTGCTGTTATGCCTGAAGAAGGGTGTTTGTGCCCAAAAGCTTGCAAAGAACTTTTTCCCCAACTACTTAGTCAGTCTAATAAAAGATATCACATCTACCCAAAGAACCTTGTCTGCTTGTGTCCTTAAACCAGCACGGCTACAACCAACAACCCAGGGAACTTGTGGAATCTCCCTGAAGGTTTTCAACAAGAGGCCGAAGAAACATTTATCTGGGACAGTATAGGAATTGTACATCTTACATTCACACAGGGAGTTAGACTAGGTGACCTCTGAAGGCCCATCCAACCCTGTGGGTGTTTATACACGTGTTCCAGGGCAGGGGCACGCTTTAATTGCAGCAGCTGCAAAACCCACTCTAATTAAAGCTCCAGAGCATCACGTGTACAGGTTTCCCTTGCTTTATACAGGTTCTGTATGTGCAAATTTGCTCGTACGCGATGACCCTTTTAATACCAAAAATTTGTAATACATGAAGTAAATTCACTCGTGTG